ATTTGAACCCAGGTTCTCTGACTCTGGGCCTAGCGCTCCTTGGTCCTACCACCCTCCCTCTGAGCAGCGTCCTAACACTTCATGAAATGAGCTCCTTGGGAGGGAATTGGTGGCTTTCTGCCTCACTGGAGGCTCTCCGTGGCCGTGCTCTCCAGCATATCCTGCACATGGTCGTCCTGGAGTCTGATGCAGCTGGCCAGCATGGTGGTTGCTAGAGTGCTGGGCCTTGAGTTCTAGTGCCGCCTCAGACGCTTAGCTGGGTGACCTGGGCAAGTCACCAGACCTCTATCTCGGTCCCACTTCCTTTCTGTGTAAAAGAGATTGGACTCAAGCCTCTGAGGTCCCGTGGTCCTGCTCTAAAGCCCTCCATGGACAGAGAACATGCCAACCAATTCCCAAGGCAGCCCTCTACTCCTTAGTGAGTCATTAGGAGGTATCACCATGCAGTGGACGGAGTACTGAGTCTGAGTCAGAGGAGCAGGGTTCAAATCCTGCTGCTGACGTTTGCTGTCTCTGGGACCCTGGGCAGTGACTGCCCCTTCCTAGCGTTTCTATGTCTGCAACGTGAGAGACCTGGGCAGTCCTCTGAGCTCCTTTCCAACTTTGAATCTATAATGGAGACTTGGAGCCAGCAGGGATCTTAGAAGCCCCCTACAGAACTAGGTTCAGGGACATTGAGTGATGTGTCCAAGGCAGCAGGTAGATGTTGTCTGGAGTATGCCCCCACCCAGCAAGGCAGCCCAGTCTGACCAGGAAGGAGAGGTGGGCTTCTCAGCCTTCTTTGCCCATCTTTTCTCATGGTCCTGCCACTTTGGGGGTGGGGGGTGGGGAGAGAGGAGTGGGATGGAGGGGATGAGGAGGGGGGGGAGAGGAGGAGGGAGGGAGGGGGAGAGGGACAGAGGAGGAGAGATCACAAACCATAGCTTGTGTGAACTGGGAGGAACCTTCAAGACATTTTAGACTCGAGCAGGAAGGAGCCGTCCAGGCCATCTAAGGAAACGTGCAAGGCCTGCCAGAGGTTCAGGATCTGCCTAAGGTCACACAGCGAGTAAATGACAAAAGGCAGCACTTGTCTGTGGCCAGAAATTAGTCCACCGCTGCCCCCTCCCCCCCTCTACCCTCCTTCCCTGTTTAGTAAATAAATGTTACTGCTGTTTCACCTGCTTATCCTAAGGTCTTCCTCTGCTCTAGCCCAGAGAGCCATCCTTGTTAGGAATAAGAGAAAGGAGGCTGAGGAGGGGCCCATGTTAAGGAGAGGGGTGAGGGAGGGGTCTTTACCTCCCTCTGCTTGCCCTCCCAGGAGCAATGGGTGAGACTGGCTCGGAGGCCACTTTCTACTGGATATGAGGAAAATGTTCCTAAGGCCTAGGCTCCTTGTAAGGATCCTGAGACTCTGGCCCCAGGGCTGGCAGAGGCCCCAGAGGCCTCTAGTGGTCCAGGAAGGGGAAGGGACTGATCCAAGGGTGTGCTGCTCCTCTGTCTCCTCGTGCCTCAGCCTCTGCTCTTTTCACCAGCTAAGCTGGCAGGTCCACGCTGTACAGAGACCTTGTCAGCACAGGGCCAAAAAGAAGGGCCTGCTTCCTTCCTCTCAGTGCCAGCAGGGCTGTCTTGGCACACAGGAAGAGCTCTGTCTTTAAAAAAAAAAAATTCTGTCATAATAGATTAGAGAAGGAGTTCTTATTCTGGGGTCTGTGGATAGATTTCAGGGGGGGTCCCTGAATTGTTTTTGATTTTTAATTTTTTAACCATTTGAACATAACTGGTTTCCTTTGTAACCCTGTGTATTTTATTTCATGCATTTAAAAACATCTAGAAGGCATGCTGTGAAAGAGTGTGGTCTGGGTACCCAAGACTCTTTCAAGGGATCTGTAATGTCAGAACTGTTTTTTAAAATAATAATAAAACATTTAAATTTCCAATAGGGAAAATATCGTTACCTATAACCCCTGTAAACACAAGCTCTTAGGGTGGGGGTGGGGGGGCTCCTCCATAATGTTTAAGGGTGTACATAAAGGGATCCTGAGACCAAAATGTTTGAGAACCTCTGGCCTAGAGAATAGTTAGCCAAGGCAGAGTCTGAAATGGCTTACCAGGTCTAGACCAGAGGTGACAATTTTGGAGAACGGTAGGGCCCAGGCGATTTGCCTCCAGTTAGGACAAGGCTTCTTTCTTGGACAACACCAGAGAAAGGAAGAGAATTTAGGTTTCTTTGCCTTAGCCTTAGTGCCCGCACGGATGTCTTCAACTCCCGGGAATTCAATCTGTTTCATATCCTTCCCAGCTCTTCCCTCAAACAACATGCCCTATTTTCTTTCTTCTCTGACTGATGGCTGGGCTGGGCTGGTTCTCCTGTATCTAGTTAATTGTTTATCTTTATTAATTAGCATCTCTTACACACATCCGATGTAATCTATGGGCCCAGATATTGCGGCTGGACCTGTGGCGAGGCTGGTATCTTGCTTGTGCCTGCTGTCTGTGAGGCCCACGCCGGCACCCCACCAATATAGTTTAATTAACCAGAGGTTGGCAGAGCCCAGGCTCCCCTCCTCCTTCCCTGCTGGCAGCTTCTGCTCAGGCGTCTCTCAGCAGGGGTCTTTTTAAGCTCTAGTTTCTGAGTGCCTGGTCCCCACCTGGATACAGTGGAAGGAGGCAGCTTAAGAGACCTCTTCCTGCCCTTCCCTCACCATCAAATCAGATGTGAAGCACAAAACTCCCCTTCTGGCGGAGGAGACGATTCGAGGTGCTGAATTCAACATCCATGGCCAGTGCAGGAATCTGTTTTGTCTGCCTGTCTCGGTGTTCCAAAGGCTTTCTTCTCGTTTCTCTCCTCCTTTCCTCCTCCTGATAGGAGAGTGGGCTTTCAGGGGCATAGGGGCAAGCTTAGAATAGCAGAGAGGGAAAAGAGAGTCCTTGGAGTATCTTTTAAAAAACCCATTTAGACAGAAGAGAAGAAAGACCGAGAGACGCCCAGATAAGCAGCAGAGCTCGGAGTGCTGCAGGTTGACCGTGTAGATTTAGAAAGAAAAGTAGCCGGGCACAAGATCTGTAGCTCAGTGGACAGTCACCAGGCCTATTGAAAGGCCTGCTCCATTTGCTGTGTAAGTTTTTAGGATGAAAAGAAAGTCAGTTTACCAGCACAGGTTAATCAGAGGGCCTGGCCTGGTTTGGCCTGATTAGTCAGCATTCTGGTTAAGGAGTTCAGCTAATTGCTCTGTTCACCTCAGGCCTCTCCCCTTCTCTCCTGCCTCCTTCTATTTCTGGGCCTTGTTGACTGTGATCTTGGGAGGTGACAGTCCCCGGCTGGGATTGCATCACTGGTGTGGCCAGCACCTCCAGCTCCATTGTACCGTAAACTGTGACCAGGTGTGTCCACACAGGGATCGATCGGGCGACTGAGACAAAGAATATAAATGAAGGCCACGAGGTGGGAACTTCCTTCCCCTCTATAAAAAGGGGGGGAGCGGTTTGCAAATGGAAATTCTGCCACAAAGCACAAGGTGCTCATTTTAGTTGTGTCACAGTTGTGATGTGCGGGGAGGGAAGAGAGGTGTGGCAGAGCTGAAAAAATCATCAGGAGTATGGCGCCAGTTCTGAAAGTCAGCCGGCCGTGGACTTGGAAGAGTACACGGGCCCTTTGATAAACTACTTTCTCTTTGAAGAATGTGGGCTCCAGGGGAGAACCCCCCCCCTTCCCCCTGCCCCTGCTTCTCCCCCCTCCCCTCCTCTTCCAACCCCATCCCTCCCCTACCTTTTCACCTGCAAGGCAGCTGGGCCTTTGCTTTCTGCATTTGTTGAGTCGGGTTGGAGCAGTAATGGCCAGAATTCCCCAAAGTCCATCCAGAGCCTGACCTTGCAGCGGCTGATCTGGGCATTACTTTGGGGTGGGTCACTGACCTTGGTGTGTGACCCATCCTGCACTGATAGAGTTGAAGGCTGTGAGATAAGGGCCTTTTTGACTTAGGTATTTGCCCAGGGTTGATCTTGTCTCTTTGACCTCTGTTGGTCTGGATTAATCCAGGCCTGGGCTGAACTGAGCTGGCCTGCTTTCTCCTGTTGGTGTTGTGACCTGGGGAGGTGGGGGGCAGGGATGTCCTGTCTGGTGCTGGTGTCCAAGGACTCTGGCAGAGCTGGGGTTGAGAAACCTGTTAGGTTGGGTACTGTACATGTTCAAGGTAGTTCCTGGGGTTCTAGGCCAAACTTGCTGCCCTGGGCCTGTGATAAAGTGAATTTCACCTTTGGGAGGGCAAGGTTCCAACAGTGACACCTGAGGAGTGTTGGGATTAGAGGATGGCCTGGGGCCGGTCCAGATGCCCCAAGCTGCCCTGAAGCACCGAATGAAGGCTCTGGAGGCCAGCCAGAACGGCAGTGGCCTCAGGTAGGCAGCCAGAGCATGAGAAGAAATGAAGAAAGCGTTTGTTAGGCCCTTCTCCTGTGCGAAGCTCCGAGCTAAGCGTTGGGAATATGAGAACAGGAAGACATCTCTGCTCTTAGGAAAGCTCCTGTTCCAACATCCATGGAAGGTGTCAGCTGGAAAAGTCCTGTGGTCAGAGAAGGGGGCAGGACCTCTTCTTGAATGTCAGCTCCACAGATAAAGTCATAACAGTTCCTGATCTTGAACCACTTTGCTAGTGCTGAGGAGCCCGGTGGCACGAAGCTTCCTTTCTGGGTCTTCGTTCCTGTGGTTACAACATCTGCAGGATCAGGTGCCAGGCTGCATGTCAGGCTCAGGGCTCTTCTGTCGGGTCTCAGCGTCAGGGTCCTGGACCCTCCGCATGAGGGTGTGAGGGGAGAGAGATGGTAGTCAACGTGCCGCCTCCTGTGTCCACCTCAGGGTGCCTGGTGGTTTCAGCAAGGCTGGCCCAGCCTATCTGCCCTGGGGGTGGCAGGTGGTGGGGATGGGTGGTCCCTTCTCCACAGGATTTGCAGTGAGGAATGAGTGCCTCACTGAGCACTTCATTGCCATCATGGTGTTTGGGGGTTTTCTCCTTTCAATCTGGCAGAGAACCTCACCAACAGCTCCAGCCAGGCACCAGATGAAGAGCAGGAGGAGGCAAGCTGGATGAATGGCTGGCTCAGCTGTAAGGCCCAGGACGAGATGCTGAACCTGGCTTTTACCGTGGGCTCCTTCCTGCTTAGCGCCATCACTCTGCCCCTGGGCATCGTCATGGACAAATACGGCCCTCGCAAGTTGCGTTTGCTTGGCAGGTTAGTACCAAGGACCTTGAAATGGAGACCATCTGGCAATCCCAAGCCAGTTATCTGGCTGTGGGGCCGACCCTCCTTGCCCTGGACTTCAGTGTCCAGCTTTGTGAGACCTGCTGGGAAAACCCAGAGTGGGCACTGGGAGGCCCCTGGTAAATCCCATTCCTCAGAGCGGGGAGGGTTGTGCCCTGCCCCATGGGCTGTCTCAGTCAGTTGGTCACCAGGTACTTGGTTGAGCCCTTGTGATGCGTGTCCAGCCATGGGCACGCTGATACCTGTCCTCAAGGGACAAGGAGTTTGCCCCAGGGCCAAGGTCAGAGGACCAGGGTTCGAACCCCACCTCTCCTACCTATGTGACCATGGACAAGTTCCCTTCACTCTTGGGCCTCTGTTTCCTTATCTGTAAGACAAGGGAAGGGGGAGAGGGCTGGACCACATGATCTTTAGGGTCTTTGCTAGTTCTCTATCAATATCTCCCAAGTCTAGTAGGCTTCCAGGCCAGGTTTATCAAACAGTCTCTACCTAAAGGAGGAGCCTTCTTGAATATTTCCTTTGAAAGTGTTTGTCGTAAAGGACAGTGGGGGCTGTGTATCCAGTGAAATTGAGAAGGGCTAAAGCTAGAAATCCCTCAATAAAAGGATTTGTTCTGTAAAACTTGGACTCTGGACTCAGTCACAAGGCCACCCTTGAGGACCTAGAGGGCCACGTGTGGCTTCGAGGTCACAGGTTCCCCACCCCCGGAGCTTCTGGAGTGATCACTGAAATGTGAATAATGCTGTTAGTGTGGTGTTAAAATGTAACACATTCGTTTAGAAAACCCTAAAACCCTCCTTTTTGTGCCGTGTATATTGAGAGGTTCATGTTTGCTGATGATTAAGTTTATGATTAAAAAAAAGAAAATGAACAAAATTTAATGCTTGAAGGTTTGCAAACACTTTTTACGTATATTAGCTGACTGATGGTTATAATAGCTCAGATTTATACAGGGTGTCCCCAGAGTCAGAAGCTTGAAACCGGACCAAGACTTTTGGGACATGCTGTGTCTAGGAGGCGTTAGAGTTTATGAAGTTCCTCCCTCACAACAGTGCTATGGGGTATGAGAAACCACATTTGACAAATGAGAAAGCGGAGGACCGAGGGAGAGCAGTGAGCTTGCCTGGGGTCACCCCGCTGGTGGAAGCCAGAGGCAGACTTCAGGCTCTGGTCTCCTCTGGGCCGGGTATGGGCAGTCTTTCGGGCCCGCCGTCAGCTCACGTTGAGTGAGAGGGAGTGATGCGGTTTCAGTTTTCCGAGCCGGCGAGGGGTTTCCATCTCTGGTGCCTCTGATCCCGGTATGACGTTCAGCGGGTGGGGGGCCCGGGCTGTGATCTCCCATTGCCTCCATTCAGCGCCCCCTCGGCCCTGGCCCGGAGGGTCTTGGGGACAGCGGCTGAGGGCTCTTCCCGTTTGCTTTCAGTGCCTGCTTTTCTGTATCTTGCTTGACGATTGCCTATGGAGCGAGCAGCCCAAACTGTGAGTATTCGGGACGAGAGGGGGAGCCCGGGTGTGTCCCCCGGTGCAGGGAGGGGCGCTGAGGCCCGGGAAGGGCTCGGGGATCCAAGGGCGCACATAGCAGGGATTTCCCCCATTGATCGCTTCTGTCACGTCGCCGGCTGGACAGGAGAACAGGCCACCAACCCAGGAAAGCCCCAGGGAAGGTAGCAGAATGTGTGGAACTTAGCCTTAGCGGATTGCTCAAGCCCCGGCCAGCCCCGGGAGGCTGAGTGCAGAATGGTACCCCCCAGCTGCAGCAGGGACAGAGTTCTTCTAGCTCTCCAGGCCCGTCCTCCAGCAGGAATCCAGAGGCACCCTGAGGTCACGGGTCCTTCCTCCTCTCAACTCCACCTTGGGGGAGCTGATGCCTTTTAAAATCCTAAGCACCTCCCTTGTGCCAACCACTGTGCTGAAGAAACCAGGGCATAATGAAACAACCCCTGCCCTCAAGGAGCATATGTACTCCATGGGGAGAGATTCAATCAACAGGAATTTATTAAGTATGTGGCACTGTCCTAAGCGTGAGGATATAAAGCCAGGGCCTGCCCTCAAGGAGCTTCCATTCTAACCAGGGGAGACCACACACCACCTGTATGTATACAGATACTTCTCTACTGCAGAGAGCCCAACTCCAACGGGCTGGCTATGATGTTCAAATGCCAAATGTACGCTTGCCTAAGAGACTGTATATGCAGAACTCGCGTAGGGCAAGCGTTCACATGGTGGTCAGAAGAAGTGATACAAGGACTCTCTTAAGAACCTTGGAATTGATTGTGAGACGTGGGAGACACTGGCACGGGACTGCTCAGCATGGCGTGCCCTCATCAGAGAAGGTGCCGTGCTCTGTAAGCAAAGCAGAATTGAAATCACTTGAAAGAAACATGAGATATGGAGCAGCTAGGTGACTCAGGGGATAGAGCTCTGGCCTTGGAGTCAGGAGGTTCTGAGTTCAAATCTGGCCTCAGACACTTGACACTTACTAGCTATGTGACTCTGGGCAAGTCACTTAACCCGGATTGCCTCACCAAAAAGCAAAAAAACAACAACAGGAGATGCGCAAATTTAGAGAATCCACCCCAAGTGTTCACATGGACTGTGTGTGCCCGACCTGTGGTAGAGCCTTCCAAGCTCGTACTGGTCTGATCAGCCCCAGTCGGACGCACTGTACCTTGACTCTAACATGGTGATGTCATTTGGGTCCTCTTCCAGAATGAAGCACAACCACCAAGCAGTGTAGATGCCTACAAACTCAACACAGAGTAGCTTGAGGTGCCGGGAGAGCCCTTGTGTTCTTACCACACGAGGCTTGAAGTTTACAAGGGATTCTAAAGGTCCGAGGGAGGCAGGGCAGATTCTGAATTTCTCCAGAGCTTGGCTTAAAGTTTGGGGGCACATGTATTTCTGTTTGAGTCGAGTGGACGCAGCTTTCACTTCTGAGGCGTTGCTAAGGGGAGAAAGAGAGAGGAGGCCGTATTCTGGGGAGAGATCCTCTGTGTTCCCCTTTCCCAGGCTCCTCTCAATAAGACTGACTGCTTGAGTGTCAAAGAAGGAATGGAGAAAGGAGAGCCATCTGGGCCTCCTTCCCTCTCATAAATGTTCTCACTTTCTCCAACAGCCCTCTCTGTGCTCATCTTCATCTCCCTGGCTCTGAACGGCTTTGGAGGGATGTGCATGACCTTCACGTCGCTGACGGTAAGATAGCTTTTGTTTGTGTATCACCTTCCTTTCTGCCTGTTCCTCCTGCAACAAGCCTTCTCTTCTAACAGAAAAGTGAAGAGAAGGAGAGGGAGAAACGTTTCAGCAGGCCATCGGCTGGGCCTGCCCACGTCTGCCGAGAAAGGAGGGAGCTGGGTCCTTACGTCACCCAGCTTGCATTTGGGCTCGCATGGTTGCTGCAGTCAGGCGTGTCGCTTCCTGGTTCTTCTTGCTTCGCTCTGCATCAGCTCCCAGAAGCCTTCCGAAGCATCTCTGTGCTCACCCTCGTCATGCTTTGCCTTGGTAGCTTAGTGATATCCCATCACAGCTCTCTACCAGTTTGCTTCACCATTCATCTGTCGCTGGGCACCTGCTTTGTTTCCAGTTGTCGGGTACGCTCTTGGTGTCCGTGTCTCCGTGCTTTTTGGAAATGTTTTCCCCTGGTCAGTGCTCTCAATGGTCTTGCTGACAGGGCCTCATGAGAATGTGTTACGGTTAGACTCTGGACTGCCTCTGGACGCAGAGTTGGAAAGATCTGGGTTTGAGGCCTTCCACAAACACTTGCTGTGAGCCTTGGCAAATCACCCAACTTCTGGGGGCCTCAGTTTCCTCGTCTGTAAAATGGGGGTTGGATTTCCAGCCCTACGTCTGTCTATGACTTGTAAAGCAGACCAGCGGGAAGTTGGCATGGGGGCATCCCAGTGGCAAATCCAAGGGAGGAGTTTGTGTCTGATGAGAGGATGGAGTCTGTGATCCTCTGAACGAAGGGAGGTGGAGTGCAAAGAATGCTGGGTTTAGAGCCAAAGGACCTGGATTCGAATCCTGGTTCTGCCACTTGCTGACTGTGTGACGGTGGACAAGTCACTCCCCTTCTCTGGGCTTCAGTTTCCTCTTCTGAAGTCCCTGCCAGCTTGAAGCCAAGTTCCTTCCACTCAGACCTAGGGAGCTGGCTTGTCCTGGCTCAGGGGTTGTTAGAGATGTTCTTCAGCCTTTTAGCTGCATAGCATCAGAATAGAAAATCTTCTGTCTTCTCCTTTTTCCTTCTTATCTGTCTCTGACAACCATCACCATGATAGTCAGGATACCTGGCTGGCAGCAGAGCCTAAAAAAAGACCTTGGCTGGATCCTCCCCACACCCTACCCTTGCCTTGCCTCTTGTTATGAAATGAAGAGGGAAAGCTTGGGTAAGAGAGCACCTGTTTGCTTTTCAAGTTGGCACCACCTACCCTGGGGCAGCGAGGGCGGAGAGCAGCTTTCTGGATGCTGAGCCCGTCTTTTTCCTTCACAGGAACACCAGGGTATGGTGAAAGTGGGCTTCTGTTCCTGGAAAAGGCAGGTTTGAAAAACGAAGCCCAGGAGAAGATATGTGAAGAAAGAGGAAAAAGGAAGCAGGTCCATACAGTAGGGTGGGCAGAGAAGACTTTTCTGGTTCAACAGTTTAGGCAACTCTAGGATCCAGAAAGTGATGAGGATAATGAGATGATGTAGACAGAGAACTGAAGGTTCTCTTTATTTCTATTTATTTATTTATTTATTTATTTTTGGTTTTAGGCAATTGGGGTTAAGTAATTTGCCCAGAGTCACACAGCTAGTAAGTGTCAAGTCTTTGGTCTGAGGCTGGATTTGAACTTGGGTCCTCCTGACTTCAGGGCCGGTGCTCTATCCATTGCACCACCTAGCTGCCCCGGTTCTCTTTATTTTTAAAGTATCTATCAATACCTTGCATTTTTATATCACCTTCCTTTCTGAATATATCCTTCTCTTCTCCCTTACTCACAAAGAACGAAAGAAAAAAAGGGGAAGGGAACAGTTGAACAAAACAAATACATTAGCTAAGTGTGTGTATGCACTGTTCCACATCCATAGGCCCCCACCTCTGCAAAGAAAGGGAAGAAGGTGCATTTTGTCCTTAGAGAGTTCTTTTGGGATATGGCTTTATTCTCCTGGAAGGGGTATATCCTGGGGCAGTTGGACAGCTGTACTCTTGCTCATGCAGGGGGTCAAAAGCCAGTGGGAGGCTAGGAAACAATTGAGGGAAGGGGGCCAGGAGGAAGGAGGAAGTAAGGAGTTGGCTTGAACCACGGGTGGGGAGCCTGTGGCCTTGAGGCCCACATGTAGTAGAAGAAATCCCCTTAATAAAAGGATTTGTTCTGTAAAACTTGGGCTCAAAGGGCCGCACTTGAGGCCCTAGTGGGCCACAGGTCCGTCGTCCCCCCCCCACCTGGTGCCTTAAACCTATTCAAACGGGAATGCCCTTTGGTCCTAACTACCCTGGTTTAGTTCACCTGCTTTCTAGAAGGGCAAGAACCGTGTCTGCAAGCCGGCTCAAAGCCCTGTGCACACGTGTTCATTCCCCTCCTAGCACCTCCAGGCGCTAGCAGAGCCTAGTGTAAAAGTGAGCCCGGTCGCTTTGGACCTGCCCGCACCTTGTCCCTCCCTGGGCCTCCCCTTCTGCCCCCTTCATCTTCCCAGGCTTCCCGCAGGCTTCTGGGCCCCCGCTGATGGGGAACCATTGCTTAGCTGCCCCAGGCCATGACCCCCTTTGGAGAATAAAGGGAACCCCTCGGGCCCTTTAAAGACTCAAGGCTGCTTGTCCTCTCATTAAATACTTAGAGGGGTATTAGCATCTCATTAACAGTTCACTTGTAGGCTTGAAGCCAGAATCCGGGGCCAAAACTAGGAAAATCCCTATCTCTCACTCCGTGTCAGTAGAGCTAGGAGCTCTAAGCTTCCCCTGGCTGCGCAGCTCCAGGTATTCCCAGGCCTCCCCCGTCCCTTACCACTACTCCATCTGTTTACTTCTTCCTAAAGCTAAAGGATTCCTTCCCTACTTTTTTTTTTTTTTGGTGAGGCTGTTGGGGTTAAGTGACTTGCCCAGAGTCACACAGCTAGTGAGTGTTATGTGTCTGAGACTGGATTTGAACTCAGGTCCTCCTGACTCCAGGGCTTGTGTTCTATCCACTGCGCCACCTAGCTGCCCCCGAATTCCTTCCTAAACCTATAGAAAGGGGCTCGTTGGGCCCTGGTCTTAGCTTCAGGCTTGGATGGAGCTGGGCCTTAACAGTCAGAGTGCTGGATTCTAGAGCCTGAAGGGACCTCAGGAGGTCATGGGATCCAGCCCCCTGCCTCCTGATAAGCGAAGCCTTCCTGACTCCCATTCTTTTGTTATAACTCATGCTGTGATATGAGTTGGGATGTGTCATTACTGCCTTTCTGCTATAAAGAGAAGAAATGGTCTCTGCCTCTGAGGAGCTCACACACCTGGAAATGTTCAGCACTAAAGCAGAAGGAGGCTTTCTGGTCACCAGTTGTAGCTTCTCTTAGCACCAGGGAACTAGAGGAGTGGCACAGTGGGGCAAGCCTGGGGCCACAGAACATGGGTTCAAATCTTGCTTCTCTGGGAGAGCTTGGACAAGTGAGTTAACTTCACTGGGACTCAGTTTCCTCTTCTGTAAATGTAGGGAGGTGAAGGAGGTGGCCTGTGAGGCTCTTCCAGCTGGGAATCATCTTAACATGGCTATGGGGTTTGTGGGAATGAAAGGGTTAAGGCAGGACCATGGAAGCTTGGGTCCTCAGAGCACCCTAATATCTGGTCTGCCTCCATGTGTCTTGTTTTCTCTCAGAGGTAAAAGTCAAGAGTCGTGCTGACCCCTCAGCTATGCCAGCAGGGAAGCAGCGGGTGAGGAAAGAGGCTGTGATGATGCCATCCCCATGTCTGTGTCTAGCAAGTCTAAGCTGCTGTTCCCTTTGGGTGGTCCAGAGGAAGTGATGCTAATGAGCCCCCATGAGGAGGTTCCATTTCTGGGAGTCTTTCTCCTTCTGTGTTTGGAAAGACACATGGGGCAAGGGAGAATAGGGGGTGTAGTGACATGGGGAAGCCAGTGGTTACTCTTCCTGACCCAGCTCTGGCAAGTCAATGGCTCCCTCTAGCTTTTTCTGGGAATCTATGCCCATAGTATTGGCAAGTCTGCTGATGACCTCAGGCAAGGTTTGTAGTGGAGATGTGCCTTGCAGATGAGGCTGTCTGCCTTTCTGAGTTGGTCCTGAAAGGGGAATTGAGGTCAGGGCCCTAAGGGTGGGGTCAGGGGTGTTGGGCAGAGCTCTTGAGCTGCCTGAGGCTTCTGCTGAGCCGGGAAAAACTGCTGGGGCCGAAGAAAGCAGAAATGCAGGAATAGGCTACCATAGACCCTAGGGTAGAAGGAGAGCGACAGTCTCTGGGTCTGCACTGTTTCCAGGATGATTCCTGCATTCCTCTGACCCTCCACCTCAGCCAGGATGGGCAGCCCCTGCATGGGAACACCTCTGAGTGTTGGGGGATTTCTGGTCCCTGGCAGGTTTGGCCTTCCCTGGCCTACCATGTGAATGAAGGTGAGTTGAGGATGTTTCAGAATGACACAGGCGGTCGCTCCATTGTCCTGGAAGGCGCCCCTGGTCTTCAGCATCATTTCTCTCCAGCATTCCCAGGAGCTCTGGCTGCATGTCTAGACCTTGCAGCCAGTGTATTGAGCTCAGTCCCCCAGGTGCATCAGAGGCTGTCCAGACAGGGGAGCATAGGATCCTAGGTCCTCGGGCCATCTGGTCTGACCCCTTCGTTTTACAGAGGAGAAAACTGAGGCCACACAAGGCAGTAAGCACAATATGTAGGATTTGAACCAAGCCCTCTGACTCCAGAGCCTGTGCTTTGCCCCTTTGGCCTCCAGCAAGGGGCCATGGCCAGGCTCTGTTTGGGCCCCATCAGGAGTCCCTCCCCAGAGCACCTGGCTGCCATAGCCTCCTTTTTTTTTTGGCTAGGCAATGGGCTTAAGTGACTTGCCCAGGGTCACACAGCTAGTAAGTGTTATGTGTCTAAGGCTGGATTTGAACTCAGGTCTTCCTGAGTCCAGGGCCGGTGCCCTATCCACTGCACCATCTAGCTGCCTCTGATAGCCTCTTTTAAATCACTGAGCTGCCCCATATCCTTTCCTTTCCACCTGGGAAGTGAACTTTGGTTTGTTTGG